GAGTTCGAGCACTGCAAGATGATAAATGTTCTTCATTAGCAAAAGCTACACATTAATTTATATTAAGTATAAACCATTATAATCTCCTGTCTGTTGTAGGGAAATGTTATTTTCTATGTCACCTAGAAGCCTAATTGATCTGTATTTTCGTTTAAGATCGACCATGAATACTGTACTACAGTCAACAAGTTAAGCTCTAAAACCAGCCTAAAAATCCCCGAGAGTCTTGGTAAGGTTGAACTGAAGTATTGGTTCAAGTTCTTCTCTGATCCATGCTAAATGAACTGTTAACTATAAAGGGGCCAGATTTTCACCTCTGATGGCCTGAAAGCTGATGGCAACCTACCTGGCTTTTAGCCACGTTTTATGGTGCAGATTCCAGGTTGATTGGTTTCCTCGCTTTGATATAACTAATGGATGCAAGCTGGCTTCCTCTGCAAACCTGCACCGGCAGGGCAGGAAGGGCTTAACTCGTACAGTTGTCTTCACACCGTTGAAATGAAAACCCTTTCGGTGCCAGCCTTCCAGCAAAGTGTATGCCGAGAATTACACAAACTTGTGAACTGCTTTCCCCCAGTGTTATTTACGACCACATTATTTCAAATAAGCTTAGTTTCCCTCTGCAAGCTTAGTTGTTGCCAGATAAATCAGCAGTATGTTATGGGTACTGAAATATGTTTTCCAAGCCCTAATCCTGAATACTTTTGAAATTGCAGGCTTAAAAAAAAAAAAAAAAATTCCTTTTCATGCCAGAACACCCCCAATCCTGTTCCCCATACTGTTAAAGTAAGCAAAAGCGATGCCTTTCACCACGCCACGGTGTGGGAATGCTTCTCCCTCCGTCCTTACAGTGTGGAAATAAGCCAGAAATATCTGGCAGCCCCGTCTGCGGTGCCTGATGGGTCTGGCAGCGCGGCCCTATCTGCGCGCACTAGGTTTCTGCGATCATGGCTGTAAGGCTTCAGACAGCAGAAGGCTGCTAGAGCAGTTTCTTGGTGACAGCAATGCTGCTCCCAGACCGTATAACACGCTTTATTACAAGCTGCTCTCTATGATCTGGGAGAGTTGTAAATCATGACTCTTCTTCTCACTTTTCAAGCTCGCTAGGCCAGAAATTAAATCTTTGTTCCGCACTTGCCTTATATCTCCTTGTTTTCTAACTTTTTTTCCTTTTATTTTTTTTCTTTTAAACTACCATATTCCTTTACATCTGACGAGAGAGACATGGGACACAAAATGTAGATGCGTCACTGAGCAAAAATGGAAATGCATCCACTACTGAAGTTTCTGGAGAATGCTTGATAGTCTTTTTTTAATTCTTCCTACCGCCGGCCCTCAAAGCAAAACTCGTTGTCTTTGGGCGTATTCCTACTGCTGTATGTTCACAGAGGGAAAATATGCAGAGGTCAGCAGTTTCAAAGGCAGTCTCTAATTTTAGGTTCTTAACTTTGGATATTTTGGGACAAAACTTTGGACACAACAAAGAAGTGTCAAAGAACTATAAATCTAGATGAAGTAAGTAACACCCAAGACATCTCAAACCGGAGACCCAAAGCCAGAGACTCTTCTATTTAAAAAAAAACAAAAACAAAAACAAAGTTTTAGCATTTGCCAGAAAATGTTTTTTCTTAGTTCTTGAGGTTTCTATCCTTCCCCACACTTCCCGCTATTCCTATTTTCATATTGCCATTACAGGCAACTCTGAAATTCTCCTACCAATCCAAAGCCTGCAAAAGTTGAGGGAAAAAATTGCCTTTCTCATAATGTGCATGTGATCATCTTAAGATTGAGTGCCATTTAAACTGTGATTATTTTTTTTCAACTGAAAAATGCTTCTTGAGACTTTTATATTTAGCTGAATTTGTTCTAAATACTTTTAATTGGCAATGTATTGTTTATTAATGTATTTTAAATATGCAATTTTCAAAAATTTTTAAACAGCAAACAAAAGACCTATTGAAATTCCAGTTGCTTAATAAAGCTCAAAAGTGCTAATTTATTAAACATTTTTTTGAAAAATAAATATGAAGTATGGAAAAAGTCAAGGAGGCCTGAAAGAAAATTAAATTATAACAGGTTCACTTAAAACATCTGTCACAGATACAGAAAAAAAAGGAAGAAATTTATATTGTTTCAGGAGCTCGACTACACTTTCGAAGCAGTCCCACTGCACAGTCACCATCACTCAGTAGCCAGAGATTTGCTTCAACCAACAAACAATTGCAGGGACAGCTGCCTGGAAACTGCAAGCCCAAAATTTCAGAAGGACCACCGTCCCTAATCAAAGGACGGGGAGCCATCGCAGTCTTGCAGTCTGACAGGAATCGCATCTTCCGTTCTCAAGTTGAAAGTCAAGAACGAACTCAGTCCTACCTCTAGGACAGACAAATAGACAGACGTGCATCTGCCTGTCAGGACATGATAACTTCAGTGAGACTGCAGAAGTCATGAACCAGAAGAGATTTTTCAGATGCTCCAGCAAACAGCTTTCACATCACTGACACACAGTTTTGCATCTTTAAAATGAGCACTGAAATATGGAAGTCTTGTTTTCCACTAAAATTCTGGTCCAAAGCAGTGGTTTCAGCTTACAGTAAATCTTGCACTGTGGCAGATTGCGGGTTGCTTGTATTGATTCATGGAAGGCAACCAAGAAAAGCACCACTGGGCAAGTTTAAATGTATGGTACTGCAGATGTATGTGTATAGCTGTGTATACCTGCACACACTTATTTTTTCATGTCGAATAATATTCCAATCTGCTAAGTGAGAAAGTCACGTTTTATGATTTATAAAATTTTGAAGAGTGTTCTAAAACGCTTTATGTGTAAAGAAATTAAAAATGCTTTTTGTGTAAAGAAACCAAGCAGGCAGATCCTTTTGCAAGCCATTGAAATGCAGTACCTTCCGACAAAATGCCCGGACTGTGAATAGAAAACTTTTTATTCTCTGATTTTGTTTTTAAGACCTGTGAAGGAGCTTTTCTGAACCTATCCATCCCTCCGACAATCCAGCCTTTCTGCTTAGTACTGTCAGTTAATTCACTGCATATTTCCTCTAACTCTGCAAAACAGGTGGAAGGGCTCTTAAGGACCTTGGTTTGAAATTGAGCATGAAATGGATGTATAAAAATAGAGCTGTTAAAGATCATGTGGCTTTTTGTAACACCGCTGACTATTGTTTTAAGCCCCCAAATCCAAAGCGGGTGCTTGGTCACTGCAGGCGTGTGGTGTGTTGCCTAGATCTTTGCTGTTCTGGGTGCTGCTCGGGATGACTTGTTTTGCTTTAGTTTTCAATGAAATTATGTTGAGAAAGCTGCATGTTAATTAAAAAAAAAAAAAAAAAAAGCCTAGAAAAAGAAAAGGCTCATGACTTCTGGTACATGTGATGTGAATGGGAGCAGAGGTCCCTCAATGCACGGAGTCAGGAAGGCCCTGCTGTGTCTCCCTACCCCCTCTCGCCATGGGGAGCCCAACCTTACCCTGGACCCCGCTCTGGTCCAGGGCAGCCCTCCCTCACCCACTGGGGTGGGATGGGGTGCTCGCCGGCCGCCGTGGAGCATCCTCTGCCCGTGGTGCAAGCTCCTGCCCCCGCCGGGGGGAGGGAGGCTTCCATCCCCGGAGCAGAACCTCCCCCCGGGGCAGAACCTCCCCCCCAGAGCCTCCCTTCCCCCGGGGAGGGGGGCAGGCGCAGCATCGGCGGCCGCAATCCCCTCATCCCCTGCCTGTTTGCTGCCTGCAATCGGGGAAAACCAGCCCGGCTGGCTCAAACGCGCTGCCTGCCACAGGGAGAAGTAATTGCCTTGGATAACGACCTTCGTGGCTAGTCGGGCTGCTAATAAACTCAGGCCAGAAAAATAGCGTTTCTTGCCTTCGTTGCAGCTTTCTCGATGCCTAATCTTAAAACCTGAAGAGGTTTTTTTTGCAAAGTTTGAATTGAATGATCGCGTCCCGCGTTTTGCCACTGCTTGGTGGTGCTTCAAATTATAGCCGCAGAGCCTTTAGGAGTACAACCCCTTAGTGAAAATGTCGTCAGCTCTTAGTGAGGGTTTTAAAGCGAAAAGAAATCTGTGGAGTACCCAAACTCGGATATTTTTATTTTTATTTTTTTTAATAAAAATGTCATCGCTTCCATTAAGAGTAAAGTTTAGGTTTATATGGAAAATACGATGTATTTTCTGCACATGAAAGGGGCGCAAAAGTCTAATCGTATCCAGCTGATGTGCCGGTGTGTGCGTGCCCAAGACCGTACGTCTGAATCGGTGTTCACACGCCTGTGGATGCACCTACACCCGCACGTTTGCAGCGTGTGTGCGTGCGGTCGTAAATTTGCACCAGAAGCAGCTTTGCCGTATGGCTTTGGGTCGGGATAGATGTGTTCGATTATCCTCTTGCCTGCCAGACCTCCTGCGTGTGTGTCTGTCCGTGGGTCCGTATGCCCGGCCGGTCGCGCTCTCCGTGGACAAAGCCGCCTCCCGTTCGGGAGTGCAGCAGCCTGCAAAGTGTGAATAATTTTCAGTGAGGAGTTACAGTAAGTGGGAAAGCTTTTAGCACATTATCCACTGGCAATTGGACTATAATCTAATTGTCAGCCCTCGGGTCTTAATAGAGCCTTTCTCCTTCCACCATTGGATTTGCATCTGGGAGATGCCTAATGGGTTTAAAATGCCTCGCATTTTGCTCCAATGAGCCACCTTCGCGGTGTAGGTGACATTGAGATGTTTTTGTTGTGAAATTGGATCTCGGGTACCTGGGCTTGTGCCTTGCTGGCGCGGCTCTGCGCGAAGGGGAGATGCCCCCGCCGCAGAAACAGCGCTGGGAGCGGGGGTTACTGCGAAACCGGGGAGCGCAAGGAGCGGGGGTATCCGGGGGAGAGAGCAACATAATTATGTGCAGCAGAGGAGGAAAAAAAAAAAAAAAAAAAAAAAAAAAAAAAAAA